CTCATAATTGTATTTTTTTTTACGGAGGGAGTATTACACACAGGTGGGTGCATTTAATCGTGGTATAAATGTAGTCTGGTAGTTTGTGGCTCTCATGCGGTGATTGTGGATTTCGAGCCGCAAAGGAATCTGAGTAGTTTTGGCAGGGCCTTTTCCTGCCAAAATGGCTCTGGCAACAGCTCTTGTAGCAGCTTTTTAGTGGAGTTGAACGTTTGATCCATGGTGATCTTGTAATTACATACAATTTGATGCTCATATGTGTATAATGTACACGTGGACCAAAGGGGAGTGGCCGCGAGAAGCTAGAAATTTTGGCTCCCTCTGCGCAGTGAAAAAATCATTCGAGCTGTCATAGCATGGAACACCTCAATAGCAAGCTATTACAATACTTGGTGTGCCTTCAGCTAGAATCGGAGTAGGTGGCCTTCCAAAAGGCACCACATGTAACTTTATAGTCCATCAACGAAGCTAGAGTGAACATGTCTCATTGATTGTTTTGGTCCATGATACACGCCTTTTTTTTTCTTGTTTTGACACTTATTTCATTAAAAGGGGAAACCAGTTCCGAAACCACAAATTTGGTGCCGATAGAAGCACCAGAAGTTGGGTAACCAGAACTGTCAAAGATAATTACAAATTTTACGATTTGCTACCAAAGCCACAAGTCAGGACGGACCTATGATCATAGGTGTGCCAACAGCAACACCAGAGCAACCAGAACTATATCGAAGATAATTACAAACTTCACAATTTGCTACCAAAGCCACAAGGCAGGGCAGACCTACGATCATAGGTGTGCCATCAGCGACGCGAGAGCAGCAAAACCACAACAGCTTGGACTACCTGCAAGGCCATTGCATATTACTGATGGAACACCCTCTGGTTGCGTTCCTGTTCTTTCGATATCCCCTAATAAGAGACTAGAAGTACAAGCAAGTCAAAGCCCCGCGGCCAGGCGGTTCCAAAGGCTACATAGAGCACATGCGTCCTCGTCCTGGAGCCCATGCCGTCGCCTTCGTTCTGCGGTCCAGGTGCGCTTATGCAACAATACCCAGAAGAAAAGTTTCACCAACGGCGGCGCTCTCATCTTAAGCTCGCGTGCTTCTGCCAGTCCCACAGAGCCCGCGAAGAAGGCCTTTATCGGCAGAGGCAGCCGAGTAGACAGAATCACACGACACGACCACCGCAAGAGGAATTGATCTTAGACACCCTCCTACAGGTGTACCTCCTCGACCAGTTCTCACACTGGGATGTAGTTGAGCATGACTTTAGCAATTAACAGTCAGAACTCCTTGGACGTATCTAACTTACTGATGGTTAAGCAAAGCCGATTTCACCGATCGTCTTCGCCGACATACCAGAACCGCGGCATATAATGCAGGGGCAAGAAGCTGAATTGAGGTGCTGTTGAGCTAACGGCACGACCAGAATTGAACCCGTTCCCCATCTCCAAACACAAAACTGCCAGAATCTTGGAACACTTCTTCGATCAATTTGTCCACCTTATAGATCAGACCCGACCAAGTCCTATTGTCATCAGTCCTCCTGAGCCACTCCCACCGAAGCCTTCAGATTTCGTGATCCCTAGGCCGCCCCACTCTGGCGGTTTACAAACAATCTGCCACAACCTTGCAGACTACAGTTCTCTCATGAACCTCAGAGGCAAGAACCAATCATGATGTGAACCAACATCGTGGACAGAGTTACCTTTGTTAGCTGCGTGTGATTTGTCGTTAAAAAAAAAGGGAAGAAAAAAGGATCCTAGGGTTAATCTATTTCTGCTTGGTGAACGGGAAAATACAAATTAAGAGCCTTAGGCCGATTTAGTTCGTGGAAAGGAAAAGGGAAAAAATATCTATACGACATTCTAGTGTTTTAGCCCAAAACACTCGGCTTCTTCCTCCCGACGCTTGCGCCTCTCTCCTCACCGCTCCCTCCCTCCCCCACGCCTCTCCTCCACCGCTCCCTCCCTCGCCGCCGAGCACCGGCCATCGAGCACCCCGCCCTTCTCCCCCTCATCGCCCCGCCGCCGACCACTGCCCCGCCGTGGGAGCTAGGGTTCGCCGGAGCTCGCGATCCCTAGCATCCGCGGCCGCCTTCTTCCCCTCCCCCTTCTCGCCGAAGCTCCGCCATGGCCATGCTCGTCGGCGACACCGAGCTCCGAGCTCCGGCCATAGTGCCCCGCCCCGACCTAGCCAGGACACCTCCATCGCCGCCAGGGCTCATAAACCACCCGGCCACCATCCTCACCGCCTGGCCTCCCTCCCTCCCCTCGGCTAGCCCCTTCTATACTCACCGGAGTTGGAGAAGAAAAAGGGGGAGAGCTCGCCAGAACCCTAGCCGCCGCGCTAGAATTGAGGAAGAAGACTGCGGCCGCAGGCGTGGAAGAAGACGGCGAGCGCGGGTGCGAATCCGACAGCCCCCACCACATCCCCATGCGAATCGGACGGCACAAAAATCAGGTGTGAATCTCCCCTATAACACTCAGTTGATGTTTAACATTTCCGTAAAATTAGGGCAAATGCACAATCCAAAAGATAGGAACATTCAAAAGACTCGTAACAGCTAGCAGAGCGCGTAGCCAATGGCTACTGAAGTAGCAAATTGCAAATGGTCTCAAATGTCTTTTTTTCGAGAACACGCACATTAAGAAGTGGGAATGCCAAAAGAAGGGCTTACACGGATACAAAGGACTCACATGAGTAATCCTAGGACTATCAGCGAGATCACAAAGACACAAACAAATAGTAAGAAAACACGAGGGGAACCTCCACCTCAAAACACCAACGGACTATGCCTGCCAAAGAAAAAATACATTCGCGCAAAGGTAGCCAACAAAGGGTGGGTGAAGCCGTGGTGGCAAAGCATCCACCGGTAGAAAGCTTAGCATCCATCCGTAAGCGACCAGATAGCCGCTGCGGAGAGCTCAGCATCCATCCACAAGCGACCAGGTAGCCGTTGCGGAGAGCTCAGCATCCATCTGCAAAAGACCAGGTAGCCGTTGCGAAGAAAAAGGCGACAGTGTCCGCCAGCGACCAAGTAGCCGCTACGAAGAAGACGACGACCGTATCCGCCAGTGACCAAGTAGCCGCTACGAAGAAGAAGACGTATCCGCCAACGACCAGGTAGCCGCTGCGAAGAAGAAACGACTACGGCGACACGAACACCCGAGGTGGACAAACCAAAGCGAGGAGGAAACTGAAGCACAGGCAGACACAGCACAAGCAAGGAGCGGCATTGACGGATGGTGGCCAACAACAAAGCCTCCAAGGAGGGCATGACGTCCACAGACGCCAACAACGTTTAGAGGGCACAAGGACTTTCGCCTTAGAACCGGCCCCTACGACCCACGTGACGAACTGATCCTTCGGCAACGCCTTCAGGAAGGTGAATGATGCATGCTGCACCACCGCCGCCGGCCCAAAGGGAGAAGCTGGGCAGGGTTTTCACCAGGGAGCTTGTTCGCCAACGGTCGCTGGGGTGTTCCTTGCCCCGGCCACCAACCCCCAAAGACAGGGCTGCGCCGCCCGCGACCGGCTAGAGCGCAGCGAACAGGCGCGCGCCCCCGTCCCCAGTAGCCGCCCACGGTGGATCTGGCCGCCGCCTCGATGTAGGCACCAGATCCGGCGCGAACGCGGGGCGCCGACCCGGCCGCAGCCACACCACTGCCCAGCAGACGTCAGCAGCGCCATGGGTGCCTCCATGGCCTGGCGAGGTCTAGGAACGGGAGGGGAGCGCATCTGTCGCTGACGCAGTCCTGTCGAGGACCCTCCACGAGGGCGACGTCGGTGGTGCGTTGCCGGCGGAGGCGGTTTCCGCGCTGCGCAGTGCCGCCGCGCTGACCCGTGTCCCGCCGGCCACCATCTCCAGCCGCCGAGCAGGACATCCTCACCACGCCCGCGAGGCTGCACCCTGCGTCGCCCGCGGAGCTCACGGATGCGGAGACGTGGGAGCCCGAGCCCGTGACGGCGCCGCCTCGCCAGATGCCGAGCCTCGGCCCGACGCGGCCTGGGGAGAAGCCGGCCGGCCGCGGCCGCTACCGGTAGGCGCGCCTGGGGGCCCGACCGAAGGGCCGGCTACCGCCCGAGGGCCGCCGCGCCCGAGCGTCGTCCGCGAACCAAATCCGGGGCGGGGAGTGCCAGATCCGGGTCAAGGGGCCCATGATCTGAAGCTCCGAGCACACCGCCGGCCATCCAAGCTCCAAGCCTGAGGTCGGAGGAAGAGGAGAGGAGGGGAGGGGGAGAGAGAAAGGGGAAGGTGCTGTGGGGTGCCTTTTTGGGTGCCACAGCTGGCCGCTGTCACCGCTGGCCAGAGAGCGGCGGCGGCGGCCAGGGGAGCACGCCAGCACGGGTGGTGACGGTGGAGGGGGAGTCGCCCCCCGTGTCGCCCTGTACAGAGAGGGACGCGGGGGACTTCCGTTTTGGTCTCGAATGTCCACATGCAAATCTGCCATGCTAGGGATCCTCTTATGAACAAAGGATTGGGTAGCATAAGAAAAAATATTAATTGGAACCATGCCGTTACTATTATCATAATTTGGAGACATGCCACTAAAACCCCATGTATAGTTCAAAATAAAACTGAAATTGTAATGGCATCGCAATTAGTATTAACGTACAGTTACACCAAGTGTCCAAACTGGCACCTTTAGTGCCCCAAAGTCTTTGTACTCTCACAGATTAACACATTGCATCACATTCCTAATGTACAAAATTAATTCAACGATCCGCTAGCACAGATCCGAGACAAAACACAGATAGGGATGATAACCCATCAAGAGGCTAATGGCCTACCCATCGTTCGTGAACACAGATAGGGATGATAACCCATCAAGAGACAATAATGGCCTGTCCATCGTTCGTGAAGAACCGATGTCCAAATCAGAAAAGAAGTGACCAGAAAGAAGTTACTCAACAGGGTACTATAATGATCACATCGTGTGAACCAGGATTATAGCAATGGAGCAAGAGTTCTGGTTACACATCTCATGTGATACACGTTCAGCGCTTTTTCTGATCCTTCCCTGTCTTCATATCATGGGTAAGCATTCTGGGAGCAATGGCCATTGCCATAAGTTCCTGGAACAGAAGCTTACAAGCATAGGGTATGTGTACCTGTAGACACAGTAACATTTTATCCCATCAGTTAAACCAACATTTATAGAGTAAATGCCACAAATGGCAAACCAGCTGTTTCAAAACACAAACAATTCTACTTACTTGGACAATGTCAGTCTTGTTCTTGCAGCCCCTACATTCGAACGAGTTCTTCTTTAGGTTAGCTATTGCGATGAGACCACATTTCTCGCATACATGGACTCGGTATGCGTCACTCTGGTCAAACAGCCTTTCCTTCAGGAAGAAAGCTGCTCCATGCGCGATCATACAGTCCCTTTCCATTTCTCCAAAGCGGAGACCACCATCACGAGATCGCCCCTCTGCTGGTTGCCGGGTGAGTATCTGAACAGGACCACGTCCTCTCGAATGTATCTTGTCATCCACCATGTGCTTGAGTCTTTGGTAATACGTGGGACCCAGGAAAATCATTGCAGTCAGTTTTCTTCCAGTGTGACCATTGTACATGGTCTCAAATCCACGCATTTGATAATTACATGTATGAAGAGCTTTGCTGATGTTATCCACCTGGTATCAAGGCAAAATAAACAAGACCACAGAATTAACATAGCAAATCAGTTTTGTTCATAGCATGTTTTGCACAGCACAGGCCCTTGAATTCAATCTTTCGTTAAGAATTACCAAGAGTTAAGAATAACAAGCTTCTAAAAAGAACACTTACAGTCACATCGGTGAATGGAGTGGCATCACCTTCCCTCCCCATCTGGGCCGCAACTTTACCCATAATACACTCAATCAGCTGCCCAATAGTCATACGGGATGGAATAGCATGTGGATTCACAATAATATCGGGCGTGATGCCTTCGATTGTCCATGGCATATCCTCTTGAGTGTAAGTCATCCCAACAGTTCCTTTTTGCCCATGCCTACTGCTAAACTTGTCTCCAATTTGTGGTATGCGAACAGATCGCATCCTAACCTTGACAAATCTTAGACCATCCGCATTTGTTGTTAACAGAACCTATACAGAATACTGCCTTAGTAGCTTGTTGGTGAAGTTCCAAGCCCATCACAAACCACCTATTGATATAGGAAGGTGAGAAACTACGAACCTGATCTACCATGCCACTTTCACTGTGACGCAGAGAAGTACTATGGTCACGCTTCGAGTATCTAGAAGCTTGCCCTTGAGCGTCGTCCTGTGGAATAGGAGATGTCTTCCCAATAATGACATCTTCCCCCGAGACCCTTGTTCCCTGATACATTACATGAATTAAACATATGCAATCAGCATTACCCCTGATAAAGATAAATTTGCACAGATGAAGTCCTCTACTCACAGGTGGTGCAAGGCCATCATCATCTAGTTTATCATATGACCCATGGCGCATTCCCTACAGGAAAAGTTATTAGAATATTAGCCTCGTGAGAAGAAAAGAGAAAACTGTAATACAATTTTGAAAACACACCATAGTATTTTCCCTATTTGGACGACCAAATTCCTCTTTGATAAGTGTACCCATCTTCTTTTCCTCATCTCTGCATATATGAAGTTTAAATCATCAGACTAAAAGCAGTTTAAGCACTAGACTACTTCATGGAAGCCCAGCTTACAATTTGCGCTATACCTGTAAGAGCGGAAAAATAGTGATCGGAAGAACCCACGATCTATGGAAGATTGATTCATAATAACTGAATCTTCTTGATTATATCCAGAATAACAAGCGATAGCAACAATTGCATTCTGCACCCAAATCACCAAAATAATATTGATAATCAATGGACAGAACAGAAAGGAAATATGACATGTAGAAAGCACCCTGAAGTTAAGGGCAAATTGCTCACTCACAATGCCAGCTGGTAACTGTCTGAAGTGCAAATGTTCCATAGCACGAGTAGTAACTAGAGGCTTTTGTGGGTAGTATAGAACATAGGCCAACGTGTCCTGGATCATGATGGCAGATTGATAAGGTTCAGACCTATATCAACATGTGAAGAAAATCAAACAAATAGTGTACTCACCATCCTTAACTGGTAATTGGTGACATAAATTCCCATGGCTTGCTTTCCCATAGCAGACTGATATGTATTACGAGGTGACTGCATTATCAATGGGAAGAATTAGACCTTGTCAGAGGGGGGAAAATATTATACAACTGAAACCCCGCAGAAGTGAATGGTTCACCTGGTTGTGGTCAGGAAAAGGAATAATCGACGCACAAACACCAAGTATCAATGAAGGATGAATCTCACAATGTGTGTAAGTTTCAGAGTAAGCATCCTCTGGGTTGTGCCTTGCATTTTGAAGGTCCTGAAATTGTTTCATTGGCATCAGTAGGTGAAGGTGAATATATAGAAGGAAAAAAGGCAAAGATATACTGGGATTCCATGGAATATCCAGAACGGTATAGACAAAATCCTTTCATACACAAGGGCCTCAGAATATGTTCAATCAGGTATACATGCATATCCCACTTACACTTATGGTCATGGAGATCATGGTAGTCTCCTCTTCTTCAGTATCTATGTATTCTATAAATCCTTTTGAGACCAATTCATGCCAGCCTTCATCAGGAGTCTCCTGGATAAGTGGACAAAAGGATAGAAGGAGCTTATAAGAAAAATTATGCACATGTAAAGTTAAGTGGAAGCCAGCACATGTTGATCAATGTCAGACCCTTTGTTGCAAAGCTCGGATATGCGCCTTCTTGATGAGCAGCCTCTGACCCTCAACAATAAACAATGGACGACTGCAGCGTCCATAATCCGTGTAAAGTCGAAGTTCTTTAAGACGGATATCACGAACCACGCCAACTTCAGTGTTGACATCAATCTGAAAATGAAAACCAAGCAAATTTGAGATCTTAAGGCCCACTGAACTGCACCCTTAAATAATATGCAATGTTACCTGTCTATGTATAACCTACCAAAGTAAATGAAAATTCCAGTAGATACTTGTGTCATGAAAAGAAGTTTGAATTGCATACCGAACACCATTGTTAAAAACAATTACCTCAATCAGTCATATATATATATATATATATATATATATATATATATATATATATATACATGTGAGTGGGTAATAAATAGTGGTAGGGATTTTTAAAAGAACTTTTTTGTGACTCATATATATATATATATATATATATATATATATATACATGTGAGTGGGTAATAAATAGTGGTAGGGATTTTTAAAAGAACTTTTTTGTGACTCATCTAATTTGTCTTTCTGCCTGCAATTAGAAAGTATAGCATGGAACAAACCTGTCTTCTTAAACGCCTAAGAGTCTTAACCAACAGGTCAGGGTTCCTATGAATTCCAACCCAACAACCATTGACAAAAATTTTAGCAGCTTGTGGAATGACAGCTGGTGATATCTCCTGCAGAAAATGAGAACAAAGTAAATCAAAATACTATAATAACTTATACCAAAACAAAACCTAGGTTTGGGAGGGTACAATAACCAAACAAAAATGCATGTACACACTGACAAGGAAACGAAAACAAACCTCAAAATTTTCTGTGCCCCACTCCTCCAAAAATTCCAAAATTGGATTTGCAGCAGAACCAACAGTGATATATACCATCAAGGCAAGATTTTTCACCAAGCCACAAGCCTGAGCACGGCAGGTAGAATTATAGGGCAACTGAATAACCAATGTTCTATGGCTTGGAAAAATGAGTTAGGACACCAAATCGCTTACTTGTCCTTCTGGTGTTTCAGCAGGACACATCATTCCCCAATGTGAATTATGCAACTGGCGGGGTTTTGCCAATTTTCCTATTGGTTAGATTAGGACAAAATTTTAAAATCAAGTATTCATGGAGAAGAATTAGATGAGAGAAAATCTGGGATATCCACCTTCACGCCCAATGGGAGAGTTCAGCCTCCGGAGATGTGAAAGTGTAGAAGCATAGGTCAGGCGATTAAGCACCTTTGTAAGAAAGATTTATCGAACATAGATCAGCAAATTTTTCATTGAATAAGTCAGAAGTAGTGCCTTAAAAATGAGCATAGAAGCAAAGAAAAATAGGCACCTGAGAAACCCCTGCTCTGGTTCCAGCTTGGTTAGCCTGTCCCCAGTTTCCAGTAGCAAGAGAGTACTTCAAGCCACTGGTAATAGTTTTTGCTTTGATAGCAAATTGCAAATTAACTTCCTTTCCGTTATCTACACACTAGGATGAAGGAAAATGAAGAGTTAATAACCACAAGGATCGAATGGGCGGGGAAAATAGAATTTCACAGTTTAGACAGCAAAAAACCTTTTGCACATAAGATCTCACATCCCTTGTTAGCTTCCTGAAAAGCTATAGTTGCAGACGAAAAACAAAATCAGGCAATTAATCCAGAAAAAGGGATTAACAGCATTTAATATTCTGGTATATTTAGGCAAACCATTCTAAACAGCCCTCCAAGCAGTGGACCAGCAAGATCTAGTCTTTTATTTCCATAATGATCTCGGTCATCCTCAGCTCTTCGACCAAGAGCGCACATCAGTAGGCGGTGAATAATATACCTGCAAAACAAAGGGTAAATCAATCTCGCTACTTTCAACAGAAATTTAATATTTGCAGATGCCGCCACAACTCCACAAGGCTTGACAAGGAGCACATACCCAAAATAGTATGCCTTCTTAGTTTCACAGAATTCCCCAACACCAACATGAGGCAACATTTCCTTTTGAAGTATTTCCTTTGCATATCTGAAATAGAAAAAGATGTAAGCATGAGTGGAACAACTCAAACCAAGTGATGTAATGTCAACACTTTGCTTGACATACTTAATTCTCTTTTCTCGAGTGACACCAACTGTTGCGCCACGTTTTCCAATGTAGTCCAGAGCAACCTATGAGCAGTCAAACTAGAGCTTTTAAGAGAAGAAACATAAGCCAGAGCTCAGCTCAAAATGTGCCACAAGTAACAACCAAATAAAACAGCATGCTCAAAGCAAGCATTGGTTGAAGTAAAGAACAAGTTCCACCAATCAAGCAGCTGAAGAAGTACCTGTTGATTTTGAATGACAAAAGCTTCCTCCAGGGAGGGGCGTAGCAATTCCATCATTTGTGTATCAGAAAAGTCATAACATATATGCTCCAGTATATCCTTGTCCGCAACAAATCCTAATGCTCGAAATACAATGATAATGGGAATGTCCGCGCGAATATAAGGCAGAGTAGCACGGATATATTGACCAGATGATCCCTGCAGCATAAGGAACATATCACAGATGTAACATTTTATAAGGTCAGCTGCCTCACTGCAGTACTACACCCTCTGACTTGTCCAAGATGTCAGAAGCAGGCATATTTATTGAGAACTATTTTTGAAAACTTATAAGTCACTAACCCCTTTTGCTCCTGCTCGCGAAAGCATCCGTACAAACATGCTGCTGGCTGGTCTGTTCTGGTTCTCAGCCATGGAACGGACTTCAGCCACATATGCAAATTTGTTAGGCTGCCTCTTCTTAAAAACATAGACATGGTTGGTGCTCATCTTCTCCTGGGCAATAAGAACCTTTTCGCTTCCATTGATAATGAAATAACCACCTTGGTCATAAGGACACTCCCCAAGTTCAGTGAGATCCTTCTCAGATTGTTGATACAGTGTGCAGTAACTAGAACGCAACATGATTGGAACCTGCAGAATATTAGAGGGTTGAGGAGAGACCGATACAATTGAGAAAACTTTCTTCATATGTTAAGTACAGCACCTTCCCAATAAACACTTTGGGATACTCTGCAGTCTCTGTAACTTCTTCACAGTCATGTCCTTTCTTCATTACTCTGTAAGACACATCAACATACAGTGGTGCAGAGTATGTCAAGTTCCTGAGCCTTGCTGATTTTGGAAATAAAGTAGCTGTCTCTCCATCGGCTTCAGTCATCATCGGCTTGCTGAGATAAATTTGACCAAAGCTAATCTTGTGCAGAGTCTAATGAAGAATATAACGGGAACTATAAGTCACAAGGACAGGCAAAATGATGCATAATACTAAGATAATTCGAGTTCCACTGAAACAACATAGCACCAACGGAAAAAAGCTATTGATAAATTTGTGTTGGCCATGCTACAGGCTTTGGTATATGTTATTTTCTTCTTCATGGATATTTTTCACATATAGACTAGGATGGGATGATATAAGTTGCTTGGAATTGCAAATTGCAAAGGATTAAAATGACCCCAAACATCAGATTGCTATGATCAAAAGATTCTTTTTCGATTTATATGCAATTTCGGATCTGCATTGCGGCCCCACACATATTAGTGAAGGCGACTGCTGAATCAGACACTATCAATGGTATAGAGCTTCAACATTTTAACACAAGTTTCAATTTATAATCTTGCATACTTACTAAGGAAAGGGGAAATGTTTCGTTCTCTTCAGTTTTCAGACAAGCATAAATATGTTATGTATTTCGTGACTAGGGGCTCATGTTGGGTTTCAACTCTAGCCTACCCCAACTTGCTTGGGACTAAAAGGCTTTGTTGTTGTTGTTGTTGTTGATAAATATGTTATGTATTTACCGGTGATTACTTCTGTGGGAAAACATCCATAAACCCAATTCATGTCTTACATGATTTGTTCAAGAGAATTCAGAAAGGTCTTGAGACTCGTTTGTTTATCACGAGTGCTTTGCCATTAATGATTGATTTTGCAGAAATTCACAACGCTAATCTGCGAAATTGTGTTTTTCCTTTGCAAGCACTTCTACTCGCATTATCCATTATTTGCAAATCACACCAGGCAGCTCCTCAAACAAATAATATACAAGTGGTCCAAAACCCATGAAACAACAGATGTGCTATCTTCATCATAAGGTCAACTCCATATACGACTAGTACCAACTGAAATCACTACAGATGTCCTCATCAATCAATGTACAAAACTCACTCTAGAATCTTCTTGTGCTATCCTTGTGAAACTCAAGAATTCCCTACCTATCACACCGAGGGAACTTCAGCAGAGGCTGACACTAGAACTAAACAATTCCACAAACCTCTGACCACCAATGTCAGGGTTTGTGGTTGCTACATACCAGTGGCAAAATTCACCCTCCAGCCATAAAATTGAACAGATGTTTTCGCACTAGTTCCAAAACCCTAAGTGGACATCTAATCAAGCAGGTGTCCAGAGAAAGGGTGGCAAAGTTACCAGCACGGCCTATGCTACCGAGACACCACGTCAAACCAAGCTCCCCCAGCGCCCAGCCTAATCGCCGAATCTAACAGCAGCAAATAGTGAACAATTCAAGCCACTTGCAACGGTCAGAGTGGGGCAACAACCTCGGCAAACTCGGCCTGGCGGCCGGGGTTGTGCTGCGACTCGGGGCGGATCTCGATGTCGGCGGACTCATCGACAATCTCCTGCATGGTGTTCTGGATGAACTCGTCGAAGGAGTCCAGTTGCTGGCGCACGAGGCCCTTCTCCTCGAAGTAGGCGGAGATGACGGCCCAGGCGTCGTCCTGCGTGATCTCCTCCTGCTGCTCGGGGTCCCCATCCGCCGCCTCCTCCATCTCGTCCCCGTCCCCGCCCCCGCCGCCGTACCCCATCTCGTCGTCCTCCTCCGCGCCGTACCCCGCGTGGCCGCCGCCGTGCTGGTGATGCCCGCCGTAGCCCATCTCCATCCCCTCCTCGTACTCGTCATCCTCCATGGACAGATCCCTAGCCCTAGTGGCGAGCTGCTACGATGGGGGCGGGGGTGGGGATCGATGTCTCGGCGAGCCGCCTCTCCCGAGGGCTAGAGACGGCGGTAGGGGTGCGGGGCGAAGTGGCGAGGGGAAGCGGAATTGGGCACGATTGCCTGATTTGGTTCGCAATATACGAACGGCCGAAGTCGGTTTGGGGTTTTCAGGCCGACCAGGAAGAACATATAGTTTTATGGGCTTTTAAGGTAGTAACTGAGGCCCAGTTTGACTATGACTATAGCCAGCTTCGTGTTCGAATTCACCACAACGTACAAGAGGTGAAGAAGGTGAATGAACCCTAAAAAATTAGAAAAAGTCTAAATAACCCCTAATATATCGTGGGTGGCTTATTTAACATCTTAACCTACAAAACCGGGTATCCAATACATTAAACTTTGCCAAACTAGTCATTTTACCACTAAGCCAGTTTTGGTATTTGGTTTTGTGTACCTGGCACTCTAACTTGGCAGGCAGTGACACTATGGCTGCGGGGCACAGCTGTCAGGTGGCCCTCCTCTCTCTCTCTCTCTCTGCCACATGGGCCCCACACCTTCTCTCACCGATACATGGTCCCCACCCGTCATCTCCCACCTCCTGCTCCTCTATGTCCTACTTTCCATCCATGACGGGACCTTACCAAGCCGTGGAGCTGGCCAGCGGTGGAGAACGCGGAGGAGGCCACGACGAAGTCGCCAGCGGGGCTCACGGTGCCAAGAAGGGAGCTGGGCGCAGTTGTTGTTGCGAGGAGCGGAGCTCGACGGCGAATAGATCCGACGAGCACGGGAGAAGACGCTACTAGCATGGATCAACGCCAAGGAGTAGTTGGGCAGGCTCTTTGTGTCACTACGAATCAATTGGAGGTAGAATCATGGCGGGGGACGACTCTATTGAGGAGATCGAACCGATGGCGGTGACCTCGGCCATGGTGATGGCGGCGGCGGGTGTGGGCGTTGGAGAGGGGAAGATAGCATATGAAAGCCGCTAACTCGCTAGTTCTCGGCGTCGCAAGCTCGACTTGTCGCTCCACCGTCGCATTGAGGCCGCCGGCGTCCCTCCAAGGGACCTTGGCTTGGCCCATGAGCTCGGACCCCAGGACCCTCCCAAGCAGCGCTGCGCACCCCCGCCACCTCCGCACCTCGAACACGGCACTGCCCTAGTCCACGAGCTGCCGAACGGAGGTGGAATCATGGTGGGGGACAACTACCATGAGGAAATCGAACCGGCGGCGATGACATCGGGCATGGCGATGGCGGCAGCGGGTGTAGGCGCTGGAGATGGGGAGAGGGCACGTGAAGGGGCGAGGCGGTTGCAACGCGTGTGCGCAGGTTGTGCTTCAATAGGGAGGAGGCGAGGGAGAGGGACCGGGATGATGCTCAGCTCCCACACCATTAATGGAAGGTAGGAGATGGAGCTAGAGGTCGGGGATGACAGCTAGGCCCTGCAGCCACAGTGTCACTGCCTGCCAAGCTGGAGCACCACTTAGGCAAAACCAGATGCCAAAACCGGCTCATGGGGTAAAGTGACTGGTTTTGCAAAGTTTAATGTGTTGGATACCCGAGTTTGTAGGTTAGGGGTTAAGTAAGCCACCCACGATACGTCAGGGGTTATTTAGACTTTTTTCTTAGATAATTACACGACAATGTTGGAAACCATTCGTGCAAATCATGTGGTATGCATGTGTGCATGCATATTAGATCTAATTAATAGATATATTGCCTTATATTTTGCTTATTTTCCTATTTATAAAAATAAAAAAAACATTTCCTATACTATCTCCAAGAAAGTAATACGTGCTAATAGCTATCTAGTTCGACAGTACATAGTTATTTGGCGCGTATCATAGCAAAACCCCAAACGGAATACTCTATACCATCCGCTACAAAAAAAACTTATTATTATTGTCGTCGTTGCAAAGAAAACGGATAAGACAAGGGAAAGGAAAAACCAAGAAGGTTGGAGACCATCTTTTTCTTTCTGTTTTCATGTTCCTTATCTGTATGTGCAAATTTCCACCTTGACAGGGTGTACAAATACAGTACAACTTGTTGACTTGTTTTCTACTGATGGCTTGTATGTGTCTTCGATATTGATTTGGCTTGGGCTTTGGACAGGCAACATGATTTGAGAAGAGCATGGCCATGCATGCTTCTCAAGGTTTCAAGGCTATCGTTGATGGTTGTTCATTTCTTTTAGGTAAGTTCTTCATGGACCTAGAGTTTTTCTTGATTGATTGCTTGATGTTAGTTCAGTTTTAATGGTGGTTATATTCATAGGATTTGTCTATATTTTACTTGTAGCAACACAGGAACACATATCTATGTCTAATGCGAAAGAGCGAAAGTTTTTTCCGTCGTTCATCGCTCACAACCATTCGATGAGGATCCCAAGGACTTAACTCTCTTTCATGCCTATACAAGTTAGAGTAGTGTGTCCAAGCACACTCTAGAGTCCGATTTCAAAACAAATTAAAATACAAATTGTTTATATGGTGCACCATTCTCTCCCATATTTGTATGAGTTATATGGTGCAGAGCCTGATTTCGAAATGAATTGAAACACGAAAGGGTTTCCATAATATACTACTCTCTTTCATATATGTAAGAGTTTAAGTGTTCAAGCACGGTACGGAGAATGAATTTAGTTTTGTCTTGCCTTTTTTTCTTCTTCTTTGTCAACCACAAAAAATGATTGTTTTATGACATCCTTCATCAATAATAAAGAATCGATTCTTCAGCTCAGTCGCACTTTATCACGGGTTCGACCACCAGAGAGAAGGCCCAAAATTTCCTACTTGGCTCCGACACTGGCACTATGGCAAATACCTGAGCCCAAGGGAAGCATCAAGTCATGATTTCCCGGTGGCCGGTGCATCCTTCTCTGTCAATACATGCCTGACATATTCTTGCTGGTGTTTTTCGCGAAAAAAAAAGGATTTCCGGTGCACAACACTACACTAGCGAATGTCTCAGGATTCTACTCCAGTAGCTAGTACAACAGATACAAGTCGCCCAAGTCACAAGTGATCAGTGAGATAGTTGAATCAAATCCCATGTACAACAAGCAGAAGCAGAACACCGTACGCCGGGAATTTAGCGTCTTGCTACCTGTATAAAACTAGAACATGCACCCGCGCGCCAAACTCTGACGTTAGTAGTCGTCGCGAAAGTCGGGCTCCCGCGGCTTGGGCATGGGCATGAGGAGCTCGGGCACGGCCACGGCCCGCCTGGAGCGCTGCCGGTGCACGCCGCGCATAGCGTTGGCCGCGAACCGCGACACCAGTATGGTGGTCCTGATCCTGTTGGACCTGCCTTCGTCCTCCTCCATCTCCTCGTCCTCCCTGCGCCGCAGCTCGGCCGCTCTGCGCTTGAGGTGCCGCCGCCACGCCGCCTGGATGTAGGTGGCCGCCCATGTGCGCCACTGCTGGGAGTAGAACCGGAACGTGTGCTGCACCGCCTTGCTGTGCATGCGGCGGAACTGCCCGGCCACGAACTTGAGCTCCTCGGCGTGCAGCGCGAAGGCCTCCACCTCCGAGAGCGCCATGACGGTGCGCGTGGACGACGGCAGGCAGGCGCCGCCCTTGGGGTCGAGCGCCCACGTGAGCAGCTCCTCCCCGCAGAAGTCCCCCTCCTCGAGAAGGCTGCGGTTGTAGAACCCTGTGCGCCCACCGTCGGTGGTGATGCTCTCCAGGCTGCCGCGGATGATGAACACCATCTGGTCCACGGGGTCGCCCTCCCGGGTGATGTAGGTGCCCTCCGTGCACAGGCTGGGCTTGAGGCGCTCGCAGATGGCGTCCAGGAGGCGCTCGTCCATGTTGGCGAAGAGCGGCACCCGGCGGACGAGGCCCAGGCAGAGGTGGCGCTTGATGTCGCGGCGGAGGTCCTTGGGCAGGTTCTGCACCAGCGCCTCCTCGTCCACGCCGTGGGTGTTGAGCCACTTGTACTGGTCGTAGCGGCGGACGCGCTCGCGCAGCTCCGGCGGCAGCAGGCGGTGGTGCATCCACTGCTCCGAGTCGCGCTGCTTCACGCGCATCTCCTCCAGGCGCACGGTGAGGGACTGCAGGTACGTCTGGATGTTGCCGATGAGCATGGCCATGAGGATGAGGCCGAAGATGGCGAGCGCGATGGAGAAGAGCGCCTCCCCGGTGTAGATGCTGGTCTTGAGCCCCTGCCCGAGGGTGCTCAGGTTGGCCAGCCCCCACCAGAGGCAGAAGAGCAGCTTGGAGGTGGTGTCCTTGGTCTTGAGCACGTCCGACGTGACGGCCGGCGAGTAGATGCCGTAGTTGAAGGGGATGCTGCCGTCCCGCTTGGGCTCGCACGTCTCGTTGATCACCTGCCGGGTGATGGTGCGCCACTCCAGGAACCCCAGCTGCCGGTCGTTGCCGCAGTACATGTAGATCTGGTTGCACCCGGGGAACTCGTCGCACGCGTTCCTCCAGCAGTCGCTCACGCGCTCGATGGACAGCAGGTACCAGAAGGCGCCCACGATGTGGCTGGCCAGCATGTACCACAGCAGGTAGTAGGCGGCGCCGGCGTAGGCCGTCTCGGCGAAGACGCCGCTGGTGCGCTTCAGCTCCGAGGAGATGGGGTAGATGCGCACCACGCGCGGGACGTACTGGATGAAGACGATGAAGAGCAGGCTGTTCTTGGTGTCCAGCACGGCGGTGCCCTTGGACCGGTGCAGGAACTTCCAGATCACCACCTGCGGCAGCGGGAGCACGGACGCGAGGTCGGCGGCGAAGAAGCGGCGCATGTAGCGCCGCGCGATGAGCGCGGTGTCGATCACCAGCTCGCCCCGCCCGAACACCCGGGAGGACGGCTTGATGTAGGCGGTGCGGAACTGCAGCGCGATGCGGCCCAGGAAGAAGAGGTCCACCACGCTGCGCACCACGGTGGTGGACACGGCGAGCCAGCGGTCGATGCCCACGCACAGGTTGCCCTCGTCGGTCACCATGGGCAGGTAGAAGAACATGGGGTCCACGGCGATGGCCACGATGCAGGAGATGAGGAAGGCGCGGTTGAGGCGCACCAGCACCACGTCCTGCGGGTCGAAGATGCGCCGGGAGGTGTTCTTGAGGTCCTCCTGGAACACGGCCGCCATGGTGGCGCCGGCCCGGATCGACCGCCCGATCGTGCGCAGCTGCGCCGAGCCGTGCGTGATGACGCCGCGGGCCAGCGACTCCGAAGGCATGAACCGCCGCCGGGACGCGCTGACGCCGGCACCGGCGTCCACGCCCACGTAGTCCATCTGGAAAGCCGACTGGTCGTACGACATCCTGGACCAGAGGTCGGCGTCGGCGTCGTCAAATTGAACCTAGGGAAGCAATGCGCATGAACGTGTGCTTATGGCCGGCGATGAGCTGCCGTAACCGGGCACAACGCTCCGGGGCAGGGGAAGGAGGCGCCTCCAGGGGATCTGTTCGATTCATTCATCATGTCGCCATCAATCGTGCCATGCTCACTCGCGCTTCGTCGCGGAGGATTATGGTCAGTTCGTGAGTGCGTTCATCTCTCCTGCGTCGAAGACCAAACACAAATGTGATCGACAAACCAAGATGAGTGGATTTCTAATCGATGTAGCAGAAGGCCAAATTCTTGCACAATCAAAAGTGCAATCCGCTGATGGGCATAGAGAAATTCGCCCGATGAACGGCAAGAATCCAGGTTTAAAACGAAGCACTGTTGTTGATGGACATTGAAACATGCATCATCACCTTAGAGGTCGCAGTTTCTCCCAAATCGCCGCATCAATAGACGTTCAAACGGACAGATTCTTGCCTCTTTGCCCACCGTTTCACTCCCCGCCGTTGCGGCATGCCACTGGACCTCAATTGGGCCGAGACTCTCGGCACCGCACGGTCCAACCCACCCACGACTGACGACCCACCTAAAAATACACATAACCGACGACCGTCCGATCTCCCCTTCCAGTTCGCACCCGCCGCCGCATTTCGGCCGCCTCCGACTCGAAACACCCATATTCATAGACAGATGGACTCACTCGTCCTCCGCCAGAGTGTCATCGTAACGGTGGAGTCAGGCTGTTTTTTTAATTCGTGAAACTTGGGAAGGCTGTGTTTAGTTCATGAAATTTAAGAACTTCGTTATGGTAATACTTTTATTTTTATTTAGCAATTAGTGTTTAATTATGGACTAATTAGCTTTAAAACGTTCGTCTCGTGATTTCTAATAAAATTGTATAATTAATATTTTTTCGTCTATATTTAATGCTCCACGTATCGTAATATTTGATGCGACGGCGCCCTCGATCTTTCCAGCGTCATTTTTATAATTTTTTCTCCAAGACCCCACGAAGAGATGCCTCTGCTGCCGCTGCCGCTGCCGCGGGCGCGGCGTGTACCGGCGGCGCTGCTAGTGCCTGCGCGGGGCCTCCTCGAGGCGCGCGTGCCGTGGGTGCGAGACCGGGCCCTCGACCACGTCGTGGAGCGGGAGGGCCACCTGGTGCCGTTCCTCCTCACCAAGGACGCGCTCCTCGCCGCCACGCCGCCGCCGCACGCCGTGCCGCTGCATTCCCTGCCCTCCTCAATTCCCTTCCCGTACCGCCCGCTGCGCTTCCTGCGGGAATACCCCTCGGCGTTCGCGCTCTCCCCGCACCCAATCGAGGTCTCCCCGACGACCCGGCTCTCGGCGCTGCACGCCGCCGAGGCGCAGGTCGTCGACACCACCTTCCTCGACGCCGCGGACCGCCTGCTTCGGCTGCTCATGCTCGCCCCCTCCCGCGCGCTCCCGCTCCGCCTCGTCGCGCGCCTCCGGCTCAACCTCGGCCTCGCGTCGGACTTCCAACGCTCGCTGCTCCCCAACTACCCGGACTACTTCGCGCTCTCCCCGGACGGCAGCCTCCTCGAGCTCGTCTGCTGCAGGAAGGACCTCGCCGTGTCGGCGATGCAGGCCTACGCGCAGCGCACCGGCGGCTACAAGGTCGGTGACGCGGTCGCCTTCCCACTCTCGTTCCCCAGAGGATTCGAGCTCGACAAGAAGGTGCGCAAATGGCTGGACGAGTGGCAGAGGCTACCGTACATCTCGCCCTATGAGGATGGGTCGCACCTGGCGCCAAGGAGTGACATCACGGAGAAGAGGACCGTGGCGGTGCTGCACGAGGTCCTGAGTCTCACGGTGGGGAAGAAGATGGAGAAGGAGGTGCTGGTCAAGCTTGGGGAGGCGCTGCGGCTGCCACCGGGGTTCAGGAAGGTGGTGGCTAGGCACCCTGGGATTTTCTACTTGTCACACAAGCTGAGGACACAGACAGTAGTTCTCAGGGAATCATACCGGCGGCATATGCTTGTGGACAAGCACCCCATGATGGGGATAAGGTATCAGTATCTGCATCTGATGCATATGGGGATGGAGGAGGTTGGAAAGGGCAAGGGCAAAGACCAAAGGAGTAGTCGCAGTGAACTAAACATTGGGGAAGAGTTTGGTGCCGTACGGGAGGATGATGAAAATGAGGAGGGATATGATGATGAAGACGACGAAGACAAGGTGGACGAAGAGGACATGGAAGCAGGTGTTGCGTCCGAGGATCACGAGAGTGATGACGATGTTGATGAGGATATGGAGGCTCATTGATTTTTGAACTGGCAACCACTCTTCAAGGGAAGGTGCTTGTACATCTCTTTGTTTGGACTTTGGACTGCATGAATGTGCAGGGAACACAGAAATACAGATGTACAATCAACTCTGGTGACAGGTAGAAACCCTATTAGAAGATAGAACATGTTTTTGTTTTACTCAATGTGAAGTACTTAGTGACATTCAAGTGTATCCTCTATTGTTGTATCACGGTGGCTTCACCTAAGTTACTCATCTAAGGGTTGACAACAATTGCCATCTCTACTGCATTATGAAGTTGTCAGTTAGGTATAATATAATCAATAATATAGTTTGGTTTTACTGCAGAGGTGAAATCCTTTACTCAATTAACTACTACCAAATTTTCATACCTATGGGTTTAGCGATCACTTAGTTTTGGTATTCATTCAGTTCACTATCGCACATTCATATTCTATTTATACCTTTGGGGGAAGCTCTTATGTTTAAAGGCGTATATGGTGACATGATACCAGATATAGAAGGTTCTGTCCACCTGCCACAGTCAAACGAGTGCATTTTTGGGTTTAAGATGTTTGATTAGGGAGACAAGAATTAGTATGTATCCTGTATGTAACATGATTGCAGTACTGCAGTAGATCCAAAAGCATCTCAGGATTTTCCAATTAACTGCTTTTTGATAGATGGCTAGCCTGTAATTTTCCTTTTTAAAGATTTATGACTTTGATTACCTTATCCTGGAGTTCAGTATATAAGGTGCCAACTTATTTCACCTGAGCACCACTAGATTTAGGAATATGAAATGTGATGGACCAGCTTGATTGTGTATCTTATGTTTTCCTTTCTTTTTTTTTCAATGTATAATCGAATCCCTGCTTGATGCTAAAACCATCTGTCGGTGTTTCGGACCGGGGGTCCTCAACCAACCAGTGAATTTGAACTGCGTGCCCCTAATCCCGGATGGTGATACAAAGAGACACAAGGTTTATACTGGTTCAGGCAATTGGCGCCCTACGTCCAGTCCGAGAGGTCGATCTTGTATTCCTTGCACCGAAGTGCTTGTGGTAGGGGGTTACAAGCTGGGTGAGAGAGGGAGCTAGTCCCAGGTCTCGGCGTGGAACGGTGCGGGCTGCTTGAGACGTTGCTCTCGGGCAGCTTGGGAGAGCGTGTGTTACAGAGTGTTGTTTGTGTGTGAGAGCATGGTTTTTTCGTAGGTTTTTCTGTCCTTCCCCAGAGCTATCCCTGACTGCTTCCTTTTATAACCGCAAGGAGGGAGCCAGGAGTACACGAGTGAGCTACATGTGGAGCCTTCTGTAGTTCAGTCCTGTAGCAGCATGGTGTTGGGAATGGCGATCGGTACTTGACTAACGCGCTGTGCTGGCCAGGCTTGAGGTTGTTGAGGTCGTGGGGGTCCTTATTGATGTCTAGTCAGTATGGCCTCCACGGCAGGAGACATGCCGTGCCTCGTGGATTCTTGATTTGGTGGAGTGCCGAGGCCTAGCGGGTGCTGTAGCTGATCGTGCCGAGGCCTGCTTTGCCGAGGCCTCGGAGGTGACCGGTGTATGGAGATGGGGTCTCGGTGGTCCACGTCGTACCCGGTTCAGGTGGAAAAGCGCGGAGCGGATGTCCACAGGGCACGGTAATCCCTGCACCATCAGTAGGAGATGGTAAAAAGGAGATTTGACCGCCGTTCCATCTCCCCTGTTGTTGTATCCTGCCCATCGTGGCTGACGTAGTAGGTGTGATCAGGCGCACTTACACGGATGGGACGGCTCGCCAGAGGGGCGGTTGAGGCGGAGACGACGAGGATGCGGGATGAGCCCGGCCTCGGCCGAGGCGGAGAAGGAAAAGTACGTCCGAGGCCCTGCCGGGGGGTCTCGGACGAGGCGGAGGACGAGCAGTTGGTCTTTCCTGCTGTTTCCGAGACTACAGGGACATAGACTTGATCTTCCACGCTGTTTTGTCCTTGGCGCAGGGGTTAGGTAGCATAGGGCAGTACGGATGTCAGCAAGGGGCACAGTGATGAGCACAGTGGCAGGTAACCCCTGCTGCGCCCGGTCCCCTGTCCCGTCATTCGTTCTGTCCGAACTGTGCCAGTGTGCGGCTGACGTTGCGGGAGTAGTTGGGTGCATTAATCTGGACGTAACGTTTTGTCAGAGGAGCCGGTCGGGATGGAGGTGACGAGGTTGTTGCCGAGCCCAGCCTTGGGCGAATCGGAGAATTGGCATCCTGTCCGAGGCCTTGCGGGGCGGGGCCTCGGCGAGAGGGCCTCGGCGAGAGGGCCTCAGCGGGGCGAAGGGCTTTGGCCTTTCGTCTGAGGCCTCGGCGCAAGCCTCGGGCGAATCGAAGAATTTGGCCGAGACCTCGTGGTTGTCCTTTGGCTTTGATTTTTGCAAGACTTAAGCAATATTTTCGGTTCTTGCTTAGGGTACCCCTTCTTGTGGTATCCGACAGTAGCCCCCGAGCGTCGGGAGGAGTGCGGGCACTTTCCTGAGGTTTTGACGAGACTTGGCTCAGCAGCTCCCGTCGGGATTGTGTTTTGTACTTGGTGGTGGGTGCGCGCGAGCGCACCCGTCGGGTGTAGCCCCCGAGGCCCTGGATGAGTGGGTTTACTCTTCCAGGGGCTTTTTTCTCCGCCGAGCAAGGAGTTTTATCGTGTTTGCCGGGCCCGTGAATGCGAGTTCGGGTCGCTGGGACTTGGCCTAG